TTTATTATTTCTTTTCTCATTAAGCCAATTTGTTTTATTTTTAGTTAAAAAAAAACTAAAAGGTTAAATAAAAAAACAAAAAATTTAAATAAAGTAAAATTAATTATTTTAAATTAAACCTTAATTTTGTTACTTCATTGATAGCACATTGTCAGTCATTTGTGTTAGTATTAGTGATGTTTTGATATGCGAATGTGATGAGTGCTGGTTACTAGGTTAGATGTTTAAGGATGCTTCACACATTCAGAGCACGAATTTTACGACACTACTATAACCACAACTACAACAACAAGTACGAGTGATTTAAATATGTGCATTTATTTAAAAATTACAACAAATATATTAGAAGATATCTTCGAAAATGAAAAAAAAATTTTTGTATTAAGAGAATATAAATACATAATTTCATAGCTTAATACACTAAATAACATACATATCTAACAAAAACGTATGTTTTAAATATTTTTAAACTTATACATATATACTTATATAAAGATCGCCACATGAGGTGCACCGAAATTCTATACTAAACCGATTGCACTTCTAACAATCAAGACCATTGCAACGCGTAATCTCTTCTGGCGTTTCGTTCTCTGCTCTTACACCTACGAGGTATGGAAGTTAAGACGGTGAGTAGAAGTCGGAAGCTTCCCTTGGTAGCTCTTCATATACTCTAGTTTCAAATTACCAGACTAGCATTTTTCAAATGAAGGTGGCTGCCATGAGTGCAAGTGAAGTGTCTCTTCCTTCAGAGAGGTGCGCACTGATTTCTATAGTTGAGCGGCTTTTGGCTCGCTGACTGTGGACTCAAAACTAGTTAAGGACTGTATTAAACTAATTTGGAACTAAGGAATCGCTAGAAACTGCTGAGCCGATGAGGTTGCTAGCCTTGCCACAACTTCGTCCGAATAAAAGCGAGTTGGTATTTTGTTGTCCTACTGCGTTGGACATATGTATTTTGTGACGACGGAAAACGAAGGTGTTTAGATTGGACAATGTTCAATGGGTTAACGCGTTGCCGCACAGTTAAATATTTTGTGGAACGCTCTTGGCTAAAGTTATATGGAGGAGAGGTGGAATCATTTTCCACTTTCTCTATCGGGTTTTGTCAGTTTGGGATTTAACTATCTCAGTAGGAACACCTTAGGTGTCACTGGTGGAGTGGCTAAGATAAAAATTAACCACTATACTAGATTTTGCATAAGCTCAAAGCGCTTCTTCGATCTATAAGAGTTTTTGGGTTTGACAAAGGGTCAAGTAAGAACTATCGAATAGATAATAATATTCCATTTATACCACGCTTATGGGAACACTTCTAATTTTAACGACTGCTTATTTAAGTTCAGACATCTCACATAAGTACATGGATGGTGACCATTTATAACTGGAGATATTCAATGTAGCTTCAATATGAAGATTTAAAATAGTGCAGGAGCGTTTTTGGCCGACAATTAAGGATTTTATTTAAAGAAAAAATGGCTTTTGTAAATGGCTCTCCAACATATTTATACTGGTTCGATAGAGCGTAGTTTCGTGGCTTTAAAACCAAGGGTGGGCTACCTTTGAAAAACAATTCCAAATAAAAGAAAGTAGTCGCAGGTTAGTCTAAATTCAATTTGCCTCTTTGATCTGTTTTCAATAGTACACCATAGCGTATGAGTAACACACAATTTTTAAAGTACGTGCATGAGTGCTCATTGCTTTTGATGTATAACTTTAACTGCATCTATCTTTTAATGAAATATTTTTGCGTAAAAAACCATTACTACCTTATTTTTGTAGGCCTCTGAACTTTGTATTTGAATATCCTATTCTCTTAATTGTAGATTTTTTTGCTTTGGATATAAAAAGGGTTAATAAAAAACATAAAGAAATTCTTAGCAAAATACATGGCAAAAGTTAAATGATATAGGCATGTTGTGTTCCTAATGCCATTAGCATATATTATTTCCTGAAATATTGTTCTCTTAATTTTGACAAGAGTGTACCAGCCACAAAAATATATTTATAGACTTTATGTAAATATTATAGCAAACGCCTTGTTAGCTAATTTCCATTTCAGGCACACACCTTCAAAAGCAATATTTGCGCTCGCAACTGCTTAGGTAATCAATCTGCAGCTTATCAAAGCATAAAGCGTTAACGGCATTGCGTAAACAGACGCATAATAGCCACGCAAGCACACAAAAGAATGTTGAAAATTATTGCTGTGACCATTATGACCAAAGCATTTGCAGAACATAGACCACATTTGCATATATTCTATGGAAATTTGTATGTGTCTGTTTGTTGTTTAGACACGTGCTCACATTCGCTCGAGCGTTGACTATCTTTGCGCAATCGGCAAATATTGTCTCGGGCGAAAATGCTTACGACACGTGTAAATTTTGTCTAGACACGCCACGTGTTAAAAGCTGCTGGCACCTCTAATGGTTTCCCCAATTTACACGTGCATGTTTATGCATATTTGTATTTGAATCTGTGTGTGTGTGCAGTTACACATCATTAGACACGATTTTTATATGCATAATAGTGTCCTAGGTCCTAGGTGTTTAGCGTATAAACAAAGATAAATGTGTAAAATTTGTTCAAAAGCGTGTAAAGTTAAATTCCATGAAATCTTGGCAGCACAGTTTGAGGGCAACTATATCAGCGTAGCCGGCAGGAAAAATTTGCTGCTAATATAAAAATGACAGTGTGACAGCCGTGTGGTTTAGTGAGTTTCCTCAGAAGGTTTAGGTGAAAGTACTATTTAATTTTTAGGTTTTAATTAAAAAGTAGTAATAAATTAAAATTTTTTATTTAGTACAGTAATAATTTTAAAAATGTTAAACACTTTTTTCGGAATTTTGAAATAAATGTTTTTTTATTAATGGTTCCAACTATTGATTTTTTTTCTGTGGTTAAAATGATACAGAGATTCAGCAGTTTAATAAAAAAGGTTTGTATTAATAATTATTAGAATTTGAGCCCAACTTGAAAAATTTTAGTTGCAAATTTATCGTCACTTAAAATGCAAGTTACGTAACATCAGTTTTCAGCTGACGGAGGAAAAACGATATAATAGAAACCACTCATATTGCAGCAAAATTTGAGTTTTGGTTATAAAATGGTTATATATTACATATATACTGGTTAAGTATTGGTTAAGTACTGGTTATATATGATAGCGTATGCCGAAAATTTTATGCTTCATAGGTATAAGTAATATGATGCAGTATACGAGTATCGTAAGCTATAACAAAAACTCAATTTAGATTATTTTGATGAATTATTGTTAAAAAATCTAAAGTAGTAAGTATTCTCTTTAGAAAAGAAGACAAAAATGTTGTCTTCGCTCATTTTTGTAAAGAGCTTAAGACATTTTCTTATAACTATCATGAGTTTATTGACCAGTCTTAACTAAAAGCAGCAAATATTTAACTTTTGTTCTAGATCTAGATCTCTTTTTGGTGAATGTGTAGGCTACATTACTTTGACATAGAGCCAAAAAATTTTGTACTGGGTGTATGCGCTACTTCTTCCTCCCTAATAGTCATTCTTGTTTGTTTGTTGACAGAAGCAAATCCCACAGGAAAGCGGGCAAACAATGAACATGAAAAGTAAAAATAAAAACGTGATAAAGTTTACAAGCAAGAACCGTACTTTTATGGAAAATAAAACTGGGTAGCCAAGAGACCTGTAGGGTAATATTATCCCTGCGAAAAAGGGTTAACATGCGCATAAAATGGCGCCGTGAGAAGTTTTAACGAGAAAAGATATAAGGACAGAAGTAAAAAGAACAGGAAAATGAAATAAAATAAAAAAAGCAAAATATTTTTCGTTTTATTTAATTTTTTCATTTTATTTAATTTTTTTCATTTTATTTAATTTTTTCTCTTTTCTGTTCGTTATACTATATATAAGAATAAGAAAAAAACGTAAATGAAGGGAACAAGAAGAGCGCGTAAATAACTGTCGATTTTGGCCACAAAAATTACCATAAAAATACGAGTAATCCCAACTAATTTCAAAGTAATTTTTAAATTAATAAAA